TAAACTGATTTCTGCTTTTCCCCTAGCCACAGAGATCAGGTGAGCCATGTGACCCACGGGCCTCTTGTTACTTCGTGTTATTAATATTGATTCTTTGTATCATACTATATCTTCTCTACCTGTACATCCCATAATAGGATCACATTTTTGTGGTTCACATTCGCACTCTGACTGACAACCAGTTCCGTAGCTTGGGTAGCTACATTCACGGTCACAATTGGAACCATGATATCCTGCTGAACAAACTAAGATAAAATCGTTTACATTAGTAAAGATATAATTTAATTTCAATGAGAGAGAGAGAGAGAGAGAGAGAGAGAGAGAGAGAGAGAGAGAGAGAGTACCTTAAACAAATTGTAAAGCTACTTATTTTTAGTGACATTTTTATAGATACTTTTTTGTAAAACAAGTAAAAAATAAAAGGATATCTGGTACTCTAGGAATTTTTGTATACATTTTGTCTGTTTTCTTATATAAAATGGTAATTAAAAAAAGGTTTTTTTTTCTTGCAAAAAAGCCTGCAAGTGATTGTTTTTTTTTTTTATATTTGGAACAAAATTTCTAATTTCCTGCTTTCATTGGGTTATGACGCCTTATTGAACTGAAATGGAAATATTGGATATTCATATTCATATGCTATATTGATTGATAAATATTTCTGCTCAATGAAGATATCTGCTCAATAATTGATACCCTATCGCTATAACAAATAAGTAAAAAAATTAAAATCTTTACCTGTAAATAAACTAATCAATGAAAAGGCTGCTTTCGTTCGTTTTGTATCTGATCAATTTATTTAATTATTCAAAGCACTCTTTAACACATTTTCATGCATTATCGTAATAATTACGCTGCAAAAAAAAAAAAAAAAAAAAAGACAAAGAAACAAACAAACAAACAAAATAATCTTAAAGAAGGTCCACTGGACAAATACATTGAACCCACTTACCGGGGTAATATTGCGTAAATATTAATCAACTGGGTAAATTTATGAGTCTGACATTTAATTTGATTGTTTGGATTTGCACATTATGAACATATGAATATTTTTGTAATCGAGTAGTCGATGAAAAAATAGAAATTAAAGCCACGAAAAACGGCATTATCATATTGTTGCATCTCAATTCAGACACTAGACATTTCGACTGATCGAACTTGTAATTCATCCATTAGCTACAAAGCAGGCGGTTTGATATCAAAATTATTGAAATGTTTCAAATACACAACAAAAGTTCATTTTTGCAATACAATTTTTTTCAATTTAATTTTTTTAGTAAAGTGAGTAAGTTTAATGTTTATATCCATATGCAGTGTAAATTAATAGCGTTTCGGACTTTTCTTCTGTAAAAATATTGTTCTCGTTTTCTTGCAACCATTTAATGTAAAATCGCTAATAAAGCCAAAAAACGACATGGATTATCATCGTTCTGTGAGGAAAATGAAAACTCTACATTCATTTTTTGAACACTGTACCCAAAAAAGGCGCAATTCCTGCTTAAAAATTAAATGCGTTACACTCTTAAAATACCTCTTATTGGCGCTGTAAAATTTTATTTTCCTATAAAAGCTATTTAAACTTTATTTATTGACCGCAATCGGGAAGTTTATTCATAACGTATTTCCATTCATACCAAACTTACCAATATCCTGAATATTGCGAGTATTTTTTAATCGCTGATGTGTTAATAAGCCAGATACTTAATGACAACAACACCGCGAGTAACGTAAGTCCATTCTATTAATTTACTGCCCTCCTATTTCTTTTCTTTAGGTTTTAAGTCAACACTGTCTTAATCATTGTACTTTCTTCATCTGTTTATGGCATCATAGAAATATTACAAAACGCTTAATCAGTTGAAAAGAGGTTTGAAATTCATTGAAGAGCAAAGGAGCACATCAGAATTCAATATGTATGTATATATTGTAGAAGTGAGAAAATGAAGAGTATAGATTCATTTCTTTTTCTATTAGAATTTATTCAGCGTCCGACGTCACAAGCATCAGACAGATTACTAATTTACAACAAGAAAACATTGATGTAACCTTCAATTGTCGCCCGGGAAATATATAAAGTAAACAATGAAAATGAATCTTGATCAACAAACCGCTTCGATATGTGTAAAAAGGCGTGCGTCTAATTGATGGAGACGATAGCTAAACTTGTAGTCGGATAAAAATCAAGAAAAAACGATACCATTTCAAATTTGATCAATTCCTCCAGTAAATGTTGGCTACATAAAATATAAATTGAAGTTAGACACAGGCATCACCTATATTTAAAAATGTACTAATTTCCAATTTTAGAAATATATAACACGAACTGTGTTACGTGAAAGAATACGTTTTTATCCGAGAGGTAAAATTCGATGTTCTAAAAAGGGAACTGTCGTTGTTTCGATAGTAAATGATAAGTAACTTTATATATTAAATATGAAAACATATATATTTTACAAATATCCCTTTATGGAAGTAAATATATTATGTATCTCGTAATCAATAATTGGAAAGAACATTCTGATTAACAATCTTTTCAATGTTTAGAAAAACTTTGATTCTACAAAACTACTCCCACCCCAATCCCCATACACCAACACTTAAACTTATATGTATAGAGCAGCCCGGTCCTCCGGACTGCAATTAAAACAAAATTCCATGCATGACTCTATTAACAGTGCAAATGGACAATGGTTGCGTCGTATCAAGAAAGACACACTGTACCCGAACAGAAGGTGGCATAATTTCTCAATTATTTGTATAACGTTATCGGTTTCCTTTACGAAAAGATATCTTTGATTTTGTAAGATATCTGCTTGAAAATCATCATTTGGTACTATACAAAATATACCGATTTAACTTTTTATTTATTTCGTATTATATATATATTGCTTATTTGTATCAAACTATATCTTCTCTACCTAAACATCCAACGACATGATGGCACCGGTCTTTTTCACAATTGCACTTTGACTGACAATCATCTCCGTACCATGGGTAGAGGCATTGAAGGTCACAATTGGAATCCACATATCCAGTTCGGCAAACTAAGATAAAAGTACTTGCATTAGTAAAAAATAACACTTCGAAAAAACTTTTAAGAATTGAAAATGTTAAAGATGTTAAAAACGAAACTTTCTACACTTCACTCCAAAAACCGAATGAATTTATCTCTTAATTACTCGACATCGTTTAATTCTTTATTTTGTCATTGAAAATAATGAAATCAATAAACAATAGGGTACTCTTCAAATACGAAAAATCTGCCTAAGAAAATCTGAAAGAGAGTCTGAAAAATGAGAGAGAGAGAGAGAGAGAGAGAGAGAGAGAGAGAGAGAATAATAAATAATAAATCTACGTACTTTCAGTGGTACTTTTTAAAAATACTTTTTTTGTAAAACAAATCAAAAACAATAAGAATTCTGGTAGTGTAGAAATTTCCGTATACATTTCGACTCTCTTCTTCCATATAAAATGGGATTTGACTTTGCATGTGCAAATAAGCCTGGAAGTGATTGTTTCATTTTTTATTTTAAGAACATACTTTCCAATTTCCGGTTATCATTTAGCTATGACCCATTTTTAAAAAAACTGTAATGGATATATTCCATATCATTTATATGTAACTTATAACTTCATGTCTGTTCAATGTAATTTTGGAACAACATTATTTTACTTATATTTAGATATATAGCTCCATGCATGATGCTTTCGGGTTAACTAATAAAAAAAACATTTCAATACTCGAGCACACTTTTGTGGATGTATTTTCTAACTTTATAATTTCATGATTGCAGAACTACTAGAAATAGATATGCCATTACATAAAATTAAGAATTCCTTCTAGGAATATATAATGTGAGAAAGAAACCCCCCCCCATTTTGAGTGATTTTAGGATATGTATTTTTCTCCAAGGAATTAATAATTTTTCTGCCCCCCCCCCCTCCCCAGTTCAGAAGAAACAATCTTACCTTATCCAACATCCCAATGTTATAAGAAATCACATTAAAACACTAAAATAATTATTATCACCCAAATGCTTGTAAATCAGAAAAAAATTAGTCCTCAGACTATTAAACTACTTATCAATACAGACCGTGAATAAAATACATCTTGAAATGAAATACTATTTAAAATTTAGGGTAATTCATTCAGGAGAATAGTTAAACAGAAAAAAAGGAATAATTCATTTTAAAAATCTTTTACTTTACACTTTTACACAAAGAATTTACAAACTTCTCTGGAGTATTTGTAACTATTTGATTGTGACGCAATTTTACATGTAGTTACTTAGGTATTTGACGTCAATGATACATCCATGGAAACGTGGATTCAACATGAATTACAGAAACAATTTTAATTTTTTTTATGTAATAATATTCTTTAGCGTTATGCATTCGAGATATTTCACAAGTATTCCGATAGTAAGGTGTTTAGCAGATTTATCGAAGCCACGGGAGATAACTCTTCTCGCAGATCTTCATAAAAACGTATATATATTTTGCTAGAAAACTACTATCAAAAGAGTTTTTCCAACCTACTTTATTTTGAAACAGAAAGATGAAATATTTCTAGATTTAGTTAGGCGTGATTTATAGTCCTGTTTAGGATTTTTTCAAGAACAGCAAAGGCGTGGTTGGTCATAGTTATATATTTACATTTCCATTGTTTTGTCTGTAATATTCCTTACAAATTAAAATTTTGTTCATTTTCTCATGAACTTGCAAAAGGCGCTTGAATATTTCTTGCATGCAAAGTAGCGGCGCATGAATACGGAACTACTTTTAAGGGAAATTCCAAATGGAGTAAATATAACTACAAAGTGGTGTTTCCCGATAAATATTGACATAAATAAATATTTTTTTTAAAAAAGAAAACAACCCTTCTTGAAAATAAAAATAAGTTATTTCATGAAATAGTTTTTATTCCTGGTACAATAGATAATAATAATAAAAAAATACATATGATACATATTATCGTCTGCTTTGATCCCAACATCAAAGAAATGGCTTCTGCTGATGAATCAGATGCTAAAAAAGGCAATTTTGAAATGCCAACAATTGATGAACTTTATCCTGAACTTCAAAATATGGATTTTCTGTTTGATGATGACCTTGATCTCCTTTTAAATGATTTAACTATGCCAAACATTGGAGTATCATCTATTGAAAACACACAGGAAATGAATGATAAATTGAAGCTTGATGAAGAAGGGAATCTGCAGTCAACTTTAGACCACAAACAGATAAATCCTCAGAAAACAAGATTTGGAAATGTTTCAAATGAAGAACTCTTAAAATATTATGAGAGCAACCAGTCGAAAAACACCAGAAAAAATACCAAATGGGGCATAAAAATCTTCCAAGATATGAGTTTTCACTTTTGTTTACAAATTTCTTGCAGATATAGTTGATAATGATTCTTTGCATAAAAATAATATTCAGTCAAAATTATCCCTGGTGTTTTAAAATAACAGAACAATCAGTAGAAAATCTGACTGACATGCAAAGAAACCTAGATTTCAGCCTTGCTTTCCTCTTTTCAGAGTGGTGTGTGGAGTCGCAGGGTCACATAGTAGATTTCATGTCCATAAATGCTGATGAATTGGCTTCTTTACTGACAAAGTTTTATTGCGAAGCTAAACCAAAACAAACAAATGCTAGACAAAACTCCCTTCCATCAGAACTTGCAGGAGAATACCATAAAAACACTCTAAAGAATATACGTGCAGCCCTCAACCGTCATCTCCAGGACTTGGGGAGAAACCTCGACATCGTTAATGCCAGTGAATTTAAAGTTTCAAATAAAATTCTAAATGGCCTTTTAAAGCAACGAATGCAAGAGGGTCTCTCTCGCCCAACTGCCCACAAAGAAATCATAATCGATGATGATTTGAAATTAATTGCAATTTATTTTAAAAATGCTGAAGCAAACCTCATCATCCTAAAACAATGTGTTTGGTTCAACCTCGCCACACACTTTGTTACTAGAGGAATCGAGTTTCACCATCAATTGAAAATTAAATCATTCACCTTCAAAAATGATAACTTTGGCGAGTATGCAGTTCTAAACCATGAAGTAAAACAAAAAAACTTCCAAGGTGGTTTGGGTACAGAGGAAGCTCCAAGCGACAAACGTATGTACACGACAGGATCAGAAACATGCCCTATAAAAATGTTGAAGCTGTTGATTAACAAAACGGATGACACTGCAACTCACCTTTTTAACCAATACAACAAAGCTGTTTTTGAATTTCCATCCATTACATCCATTTGGTTTGTAAACAAACCCCTGACGAAAAGAACATTAACCAACTTTATGTCCGAAATTTGTAAACTTGCCCAAACCAGCAAAATCTATACACCACATTGTTTGAGAGCAACTGCGATGCAACACATGAACAACGCTGGTCATGAAACAAGGCACATTATGTTCATGTCAGGGCACAGAAACGAATCATCCATCAGATCGTACAATAGACACTGTTCAACGCAGCAAAAAAAAAAAAAGCCCTCAGTGCCACAATTTCCAAAATGACTGATGAAAACTTACCACGACAAGAGACATCAAAGAATGAGCAAGTCCTTGACGTTAGCTCCGTTCCGATGTCAGCACCTCGTTCCTCCGACCTTGTATCCCCGCCATGTGGAATTCTGCAGGTGGAAAATACTAACAAAATGATGATAAATATCCAACACTCTAGCTCGTCGGTTACCGAAACAGTACAAACCCAAGGCATTATGACACATTCGACATTTCACGGCTGCACATTCCAATTTGTTTCAAAATAACCGGCCATGCTTACGACCTGATCACTGACATGGTAATATTTACATATGCGCATTCCGGAAACATTTTTTTTGTGTAAAATCCAATTGTTGTCGAACATTCTTTTTCTCAATTGTTTCTTATAATCTATTGATTAAATTTCTGAAATCAATTATCATTCGTTTTGTTATAATTGTATATTACTACTATTACTAAGCCGCACTATATTTTTCAAACGACGCAGATTGGGGCTCACCACGGGATCAATTTCAAAAATATCAACTTACGACTATTTATAACAAAGAGGGGGGTTTCGATTGAAAAGAAAGTTATAATATAAATATAAGAAATGAATTTCATTTTTACAGATTCATGAGGTTATGAACTCTGACGCTTCACGCCGGCATATTTTTCATGAAGCGCTAACGCGCTTCATGAAATATGCCGGCGTGAAGCGTCAGAGTTCATAACCTCATGAATCTGTAACAATGAAATTCATTTCTTAAATGGAAGCATCCTCTGAAAGTGTACATTCAAATTTGTTTAACTCATGATCCTCAGTCGAGGGGGGCCAATGAGGGATCAAAGTTTAACGAAAGAAAACATAAGAAAACTCTTCTCATGCACAGCAAAGTCATGATTGGTCATAGTTATATTGAAGCATCATTTTTTGGGCAGTGTAGATTAAAGTTTGTTCAAATTATGACCCCGGGGGTAGGGTGGGGCGACAATGGGGTATCAAAGTCTAATGTAGGATTACATAAGAAAAATCTTTAAAATCATTCACAAAGTCAGCATTTTGATTGATCATTGATTTAAAAGCATAAAATCGTTATGTAGATTTGGACTTAATAGGAGAATAGAGGAGAAATAAAATTGATCATATCAAAGGAATACAAAGGCAATATCAATAGAATTGTTCAGCTTATAAACAACAAAAACATGTGTCACATTAATTTAAAAGCATTCTAAAGAAGTGTAAATTTAAGTTTGTTTAAATATCCCCCCACAGAACCCACTTTTATAATGCATTTAGATTTTTACATACTGTACTAATTTTTGCTCTTATCTAGCCAGTTGCTCGTATGAGCGATGTGGCACCTGGGCCTCTTGTTGAGTTAGGGCTGAAAATCATGGCCATATTTCAGCAGATTTTTTGTACAAAGAGAGAGGTGGCACTTGATCCAACCTTTGATGTTTGGAGGTCTGTGTTTGCTCTGCTCCTATTTTGTATTGTTTTACGGACTTTTGATCATGAATCATATGTTTTATTTGTCGAATTTATATGTGGCAAGGGTGAAGCATTCAATTATATCATTCTTGTAAATAGTGTGGATGATATGTAATGATGTTAAATTACATCAATAACTGTGATGCAATTGATTTTGAAACTTCTTCATATATTGCATTCAAAATTGATGACATTTTACTTGTCTGTAATTGCAGAATAAAATTAAAGGTGCAATTATAACATTGCTGGTAAAAAAACATTTTTAATTGTATGGTACGAAGTTATATTTTAATCATATTAAATTCATGATAAAGGTGAATTTAAAAAAAATGGTGAAACACATAATTATTTATCTGCACTAAATACAGGCAATACTGGGTTATATATTTCAGCATATGATCACTGATAAAGTCTACATACCTGCAAAATATCTCATTGATATATCTATCTGCAAAAAAGTCATACCCAAAATGATTTTAAAAATGTCCTGCGCACAACACTTTTTTGTGATATTTTGAAAATTCACTTATGAATTTTACAAGTTTTAAAATTTCACTGGGAAATATAATATTTACATTCAGGGTAATTTTCTTCATGAAATCTATTATAAATTCACGACGTTCAAATCTCAATAATTTTTAACACTCCCGAAACCTTGTCACTGCTCGTTAGAATAAACAGTAGGAACTACATGCATTTTCCAAATTTTAGGAACAACAAAATATACAATGTTTCATTTCAATTTTATTTCAATTTCATTTCAATTTAATGAAAATCAATACAACAAATGTGCGTTTAAAAGTAATTTGTAACTTTTTTTATTGCAATGTTCGTTTGCGTCACTAAACTGATATCCAAACCATCTCGAAAAACATCTGTGTGTATTTTTATCTTTTTCTATTTTTTCAAACCTTAGGTTTTCTTTGTTGTTTAACGTAACTCTCGAGAATGGTTGAAAAGAAAACAACCAAGATTTGTAATTTTTCGTAATATGTCAGCCCACAAGCTACGAGTATTTCATAAAAATAAGTCGGGGTTCCAGGGTATCGTTATGATTCAAGACCTCGGACATTGCAAGAATATCTTGATTCTTGATAAGCAGATTTTTATATGTGCACATGCTCCACTAAAAACATATATTCAAACTGTTTGCATGCAGAAAAATTCTTCTATCGTTTAACTCTTTACAACTTACTGAACTCTGAGACAACATTCGCTTAATGTTCACGTCATCGAAGTATAACTTTACCTTTTCCGAGTAGACACTTTAAAGCGCGATAGAAGCGTAAATAAATATAAAATACTATTCTAATTAGTTTATAACTTTTCTTATATTATGAGATTTTAGCAAATATAAAAAAGAAGGAAAAAGGCATTCAATTGAAGATTAAAATTACTCTTGAAAGTGCTTGAAAAATGCATGATTGCTTGGAATGGTATATGCACGATTTTGTGTCAGAAATAGGAAATGGTAATTGCGTAAAAATGCGTAACTGTGGGGAATGGGTTAACAAACTATTGAAAGGCATACAAATTTAAAGAAACAAAATATCTAATTTCATTTTTGGTTTCATAAAAGGTATGTATTTATATCTGTAGCTGCTATATAGATTTATATTGTTACATTTGATGACGATCCAGAAACAGTTTTCTTTTGTATAAAAATGAAAGATAGATATAAAACGTAAATTGGAAGACCGCTATAATACAAAGAACAATGATGCTATATAACTTTGCCGCCCTTCTTCTTCCTTGGTTTTCTGAAGGGTTACATTTTCTCTCTGAGTCTACAAAAGATATAATTAAATACAACTAATAAAAATGTATGTTTTAGATTTAAATCCCAAATTATAGTAAGAGAGACCTCAAAGTTCAGAACTGTTCTATGTTTACTCGTACAGATAAAAAATACAATTGTTTATTAAAACAATTGATTCCTTTCTTTTGTTTGAATGGCAATATCCAAAAATTAATTATAATTCAATTCTTGAAAAGACTGATGGAAATGATGACTTTTATTGAGACTGTTGATATTTTTGTTTCATCAATTTGTATGTCCATAACTTAACACATTTATAAAGTTTTCATACATGTACGTAGAACATTCTCTTGCATATAAAGTCAACGGTGAGAAATAAACCCCGTATGAAGGTACATTGCTGCAAAGGTAGGTGTAGCTGACGATTGAAATGTTAAAATCATCAAATTTTATAATAAAAATTGGCTGTTGGATTAAAAACAAAATAGATATTGTTTATCAGAAACCCAAGAATCTTTTTAATATAGCTGATTTCAAAAGATGATTGATTTTTGAGTGATAACATCTACTGGAGGGTGTGGTTATAAGAAACCGAGACTTCCGACAATTTGTTGGAATTCCCATGGATACCAAATGCGCACCGTTATTGATAGAAATATTTTTAATTCCTGTGAAGCAGAATTTGGACATTTAGATGTGCAACGATATAACCCGTCGACCTTGAAATAAAGGATACCACAAAGTTTGACACATCTTTCTTATATTTTAATATTTTAGAAAAAAAGACGTTAATGGTTATAACTAGTAATCAACAAGGCTATGTCGTAAACGTGATGATTTTCACCTTTTGATCTTCAGCTTCCCTTGTTTATGCGGCAATATACCCTTGTCACCTGACCTCGAATACTGCTCGATGTATCCATATATTTCCTTGTATATAATGTTGAAAGATAGAAAGTTTTAAATTTTTGATTTGATAAAATTGTGTAATTTCAAATTTTCCAGCACTTATTTGAATTTTGAAGTATCCACATCTGATTTATACAATACGTTATATCGCGACTACCAATGAGTACCTCGCAGTTATCTAACTTACTACCGCTCTTTTACTTGGGAGTCGAGAAAAGTCTACATTTCTGGGGGCAAATGACATTGTTTACAGTAGTGACAATCGAATGATTCGAACAATTTAATGCCGAAATCACGATGTTTTGCCAGATATTGAACTCCAAATAGTAGATTGTCAAGTAAGGAAAGTTTAGAATATTTTATCTGCTTAAAAATGTGACGATTTTCAATGAAAATTGAACGAGAAGAGTCCGCTTAATTAAAAATATCGTTAAAAATGTGACAATTTAGGATTGGCTCCTCTCAAAAATATATTAGGCTGGTTCAGCGATTGTTTAGCGAGGTATTCCACCAGGATTTTTTACTTATCTGCCCTTATAAATACTACAATGATCGATCTTGCATTGTATTGAAAAGCACATTGCCCCCACCCAACAGACGATTCCTACCTCCTTCGCGAAAGAGTTCCGCTAAGTTAAGTAATCGCGATATCAAGTATTTTCCCGATATATTTATAAATTGTTTTAAAGTACTCCCGAAGTTTCTCCTTCAAGACTATTAATAGTTTCGTGAAGAGTAATCTATAAAGAGAGAAAATCTGTAGTTATTGGATTCCAATTTGAAACTTTGTAAGGTTTTTAAATACCGTTTTGAATCCAATTAAGCTATGGTATTCAGATTCCTTTCAGATGTTGGCAATATCAAAAATATTCAAAACTGTTATGATTTTGAAGAACCTCCCCCTTAGAATGAAAGCTATGGGTGTGAGTTTTATAATTAAATCCCAGTTCCTCTTAGATAGAACTTAAATACATGTCATGGGCCTTACAAAAAAAAACCTACAACGTTGTTACCCGCTTTGTCAGCAGAAACCATTATGTACTGATCGTTTAATTTAGCAAAATCGTCTTTCACTTCTGATTTATTTTTCACATAATAAATTTCATCACTTTCAATATACACATGTATTTGATTTACTAAAAATTATTATATATTTTCCAACATTGTTCCACCTTTATTTTCTAATGCACATTTTGTATGTCCCACGTCTAGCTTCATACAAAATACTCATTTTGAAACCTTGAATCTAAATATATTTTTGAGAAATTATTAATGAAAGTTAAAAAATATCTTTAGATAAAATCCATTCATTTCTATATAACAGGGAGTTTCAGGATTTCAAGTAGAATTCGTTTAGCCTAACTCTTGGTGCATCACTATTAGAATGTAGTAATCACATTTATTAGGGTCAGGTAACATTTTGATAGTTTTGAGTGGGTTTTTGTCCCCCCAAATTACTAAATTAAAACTGTTTATTGTGTTACGAAAGCTTAATGTTTACCTAAACATCCTCTTATATGATCACAATATTCAGGTCTCCTTCATTCACATTTTGACTGACATTGAACACCGTAGTTTGGATACCGGCAAGGAATTTCGCATTTTCTTCCAAAATATCCCGGTAGACATTCTAAAGAAAGAAAAATGATGATCTTTTTTACACAGTGATATACATTTACTAAATAAGAATCAATAAGATTTGGAAAAAAACCCAAATATTTCAATGGTGTATTTCAGAGTAACCTTCATCAGATATGCTGAATGTTAATACAGGATGAGACACGTTTGAAATTATCAGAACCTCAGGAGAGACCGTTAGAGAACCATCTGAAAAAAATCAAATAAGTACTTAATAAGCAATGTTTAGTTAAGCATAATTCAAAATAAATGTTGAAGGATATTTGTATTGGATCATTAAAATATATGCCTTCACATCCTGTGATGGAACTACAATTCTCCATTTCACAGTTACAAAACATCTGACAACCCCTCCCGTAGTTAGGATAGCGACAAGGTTCAAGGCAGCTAGGACCAAAAAATCCAGGCTTGCATTCTTAAGAAAGGATATTGAAAACATTCAAAAAACAATTCACTACTTAAGGTATGTTTTTCAACAATAAAATTTGTTAGATATTTCTTTATTAAATCTATGACTGTTAGTTAAACACGTCATTTATCATCTTGATTTTTCTTAATTTGTTGCGCCATTCTGAGATCAGAAAACGGAATGATTTAAAATAATATGACTGGATTGCAGACTTCATTACCATAACCAATGTAATTAACTTCTGATGTTCAAATTATACTTTGAATTACAAGTTCATGTAGTTTCAAGCAATACTTTTACCCAATGTCCTTTTTGCAGAACACTTTCATCACATCAATATATTCCTATTTGCCGGAACATAATGTATATTGATCAAAGTGTAACGACTTAAATAAATAAATAATTCAACTTAATGTTTCGAATTTGTCGTTTTTATTTACACGGCTGCAATAGACTCCACATGGTACTGTGATTTAAGAGTTTAATTGCCCTTAACAATAGAGAGATGGTTAAAGTCCCAATGCGGGACGTGGATACTGTCCTTCTGAAGAGACGTATTAACCAATATTCAATAGTCGCAATAGTAGCAAACATAAGGAAGAAACTTCATCACCAAAAGGCTAGAAGTGGTAACTACAAGTCTACATTTGTACATGTAGCCCTTCACCGGCAAGTGGTGACATCTCAATACATGTATGACTGACAAAAGGTTCAAAAGGTTTGTTAAAAATAAACATACGAAGGGTGTCTAACAATGTCGTAGACAATGTTTAATTGTTTATAGCCTTGCAAACATTAAAACAATATTCTTGTCAAGTTTTATATGGCCATATTTTGTTCGATGTTCCTTTCAAATAGTAAATTCTGAGTAGTATAATTATATCTTTTATGATAACATTTTTTGACAAGTTATGTAAAAGATTGTATAGTCTGTGGACGCATGAACAAAACCCGGAATGATTTAAGCATGTAACTGTTCCAGTGGCATCCGTTTCTGTAGTAATATGTAAAACATCATATTAAAAATTATTTCAGTGAAACCAGAACCTTAGTAATTTGTCAAGTTTTCATCTAGATAAGACAGGGTTTTGTCGCAGTATAAGAAATACCTAGTTCTGCCATCAGAAGTCATTTTTTACTTTAAATGAATTACTGATATGCTCAAAAGACAAATTAAAAGCATAAACGACAGTAATTAATAATAATAATGAATATACTGTCATGAAAGGTAAAATACGCTTGCTTTTTTGTGCCCATGTAAACTTTTATGTTTCCTTCATTGCTACACAATTTTCTTATTAAATGCATTCCATGTGTTATGATGAAATTTGAAGTTCATGATCATAATGTTGCTTTTTACTACGTCAAAAAAAGAATGAATTAGCATGGAAAAACTATATTTTGTCCTTATTCACGAATTTTCGGGAAAAGCCTCGTACTTTCAATACAGATCAAAATAGTAATATACTAAAGAGAATTACTTCAAGCCTTGATAGAAAACTGCAATAAAAGTAACATATACTAAATATTAATACTTGGTATTGGGAATAGTGCTCTTACCTGAACACCTGTTATCCGCTGGATTCCACTCTTTGCATGCTTCTCCAGTGCTTAAATTTAAAGACTTGTTACATGTATCAGGACAATATATATTATGTATACTATTTAAAGTGAGAGAGAGAGAGAGAGAGAGAGAGAGAGAGAGAGAGAGAGAGAGAGCAATATAAGAAGATATTTGTTTTTTAAATTCTTCTGAAATTGAAATTACATACCTTGTTAATATTTCTTTTGTTAAACATGTCTTGAAAACACGCACTGTACAAATCAGAGTACAGAATAGAACTCGACAACTTACAGCCATTTACATTTCTTTGCTCTTGATTAATATAAATTATTAATTTTGTGAGAGCTACATATAATGACGTATTAATACAAGTAGGATAAGATTTATAAGTTTTCAATAGATAATTTATTTCCTGGTAGATAATATTTCCTGATAACAAGACTTTCTTGTATTTCCTGAACTGATCAGTGCAGAATTTATCTATCTTTACTAAAGGGAAAAAGAAAAGCAAAGTAAGCTTTTGAAGTGAATGAATGTATTATTCGAATATATTTTCCAACATTATTCCATTATTTTTTTTAATGCACATTTTGTATGCAAATCCTACAGTGTAACTTTAAAGAAAATACCCATTTTGAAACCTTGAACCTGAATCCTGTACATATTTAATTATTTTACTAATTCGTTATGAGAATTAATGTCTTAAGATACAGTCCATAAATTTCTATTTTACAGACAGTTTGAGGAATTCCTTTAGACAAACTCTTTGTACAAATTTAATAATTACATTTACTAGGGTCAGGTAACATTTTGATATTTTTGAGCGGGTCTTTGTCTCCCAAAATTACACAAATCAAAACTGTTTATTGTGTTACGAAAGTTAATGTTTACCTAAACATCCTCTTATATGATCACAATATTCAGGTCTCCTTCATTCACATTTTGACTGACATTGAACACCGTAGTCTGGATACCGGCAAGGAATTTCGCATTTTCTTCCAAAATATCCCGGTAGACATTCTAAAGAAACAAAAAATGATCATCTTTTTTACACAATGATATACATTTACTAAATAAGAATCTATAAGATTTGAAAGTAAATGTTTCTCCAATTTCAATTTTGTATTCAGTAACCTTCATCAGATAAGCTGAATGCAGGATGAGACACGCTTGAAATAATCAGAACCTCACGTGAGAACGTTAGAGGAACATCTGAAGAAAATCGAATCAGCAGAAAATAAGTAATGTTTAGCTACGTTGTATATATAATAAAGAAATAAATGTTGAGGGATATTTGCATCAAATCAATGAAATTGTATGCCTTCACATCCTGTGATGGAACTACAATTCTCCATTTCACAGTTACAAAACATCTGACAACCCTTCCCGTAGTTAGGATAGCGGCAAGATTCAAGGCAGTTAGGACCAAAAAATCCAGGCTTGCATTCTAAAGAAAAGATTTAGAAAACGTTCCATTAAACAATTCACTATTAAAGGTACATGTATATTTTCAATAATAAAATTCGTTAGAGATCTTTTTATTAGAATTTATTACTGTTAGTTAACACGTCTTTTATCATATCGATTTTCTTAATTTGTTGAGCCATTCTGAAATCAGAAGACGGAATGATTAAAACTAATATGACAGGATAGCGTACTTCATCGCCATAACCAATGTAATTTCTGATGTTCAAATTGTAATTTCAATTACAAGTACATGTAATTTCAAACAATATTTTTTACCCAATGTCCTTTTTGCAGAACACTTTTATCATATCAATATATTCCAATTTGCCGGAACATATGTATATTGAACAAAGTGTTACACTGTACGACTTGAATCAATAAACAATTCAACTTAATGTTTCGAAATTGTCATTTATTAACATGATTGAAATAGTCTCCGCATGGCACAGTGATTAAAGAGTTTAATTGCCCTTAAAAATAAGAAGATTGTTCGTGTCCCAATGCGGGACGTGAAAACTGTTCTTACTGAAGAGACGTATATGCATTAACCAAGCTTCTATGTCACAGTAGTAGCATACATAAGAAAGAACCTTCATCGCCAAAAGGCTAGAAGTGGTAACAATCAGTCTAAATTTGTAGCCCTTCCCTGGGAAATGGTGGCATCTCAATATGACTGAAAAAAGGTTTAAAAAGGACGTAAAAATAAATATACTGTACGAGGGTTGTCAAACCAAGTCGTAGAAAATGTTAATGGCTTTGCAAACATTAAACCAATATACTAATAGAATTTTATATGGCCATAATTTGTTCGATGTTCCTTTCAAATGACATTAAATATATATCTTTCATGATAATATTTTTGAGAATTTATGGTGAGGAGTACATGTATATAGCCTGCGGGTGCACGAACAAAATCCGGAATAATATACGCACGTAACTATTCCAATTGCATCCGTTTCTGTAGTAATATTTAAAACATCTTAAAACATCTTAATATTATTTCAGTGAAAATAAACAGAACCTAAGTTATATATCAAGTTTTCAGGTATATATTGTCGAAGGGGAGGGTTTTGTTGCAGTATATGAAAACCTATTCCCATTATCAGAAGTCATTCTTACTTTAAATGAATTTTTGAGATGCTCCAGAGACAAGTGAAAAGCATTGACAACAGTAATTAATAATGTCTATATAATGTCATGAAACGTAATATACGCTTGCTCTTTTTGTGCCAATATGCACTTTTATGTTTCCTCTATAAATAGTGTTATATTATTTTCTTTTTAAATGCATTCCATGTGTTTTCATGAAATTTTGAAGTTCATTATCATAAAATGTTGCTTTTTAAAACGATAAGAAAAAAATGGTTCAGCATGGAGAACCTTTATTTTGTCCCTATTCATGAATTTTTGGACAAGCCTTTTACTTTCAATTTTGTTCAAAATAGCAATATACTGAATAAAATGATTTCAAGCCTTCAGAGGGGACCTATATCCGAAAAGTCATTGTGTGAAATTTTCAAAATTTGACATTTCTTTAGTGACCGCTTGCTCTTAATTTTTAGGTATCCAAAACAATACCTTTATATGCTTATTTTTACACAGGAGCACGTGCAAAAACAATGTGAAATGCTACAAATAGATTATTTTCAGACATTATCGTTCTACTTCAAATATGCGCAAAAAAGGACCAAAAATGTCAAATCACATTCGAAATCAAAAAGGTTTTTAATCTATATCTTTAAAACGAAGGC